TTTGATTGACAGAATTACGAATGTCGTTAGCCGGCAATTGTTATTGTCATATTATTCTGAAAACTTGCTGGCAAAACTAACCCTGCAACTGAAAAATAGACTATTTTTGTACCCTTTGGTCAAAGTATGTGTAATCACAAGATTGTAATCTATCGAATAGGCTATTTTTTATATCAATTTGGTAACTTATTCGCCCAAAAATGTTTACTGAAAATTTGACGGCCAAAATTACTTTTGCGCCAACTAGAAGATGGCAATTTCTGTTGCCCCCACTTCGAACCATGTAACTATAGTTTAATTAAATAAAGTTCAGAGTTTGTAATTTACATATTTTGAACAAAAATAAACCTGTGGATGCACTTGTCCCGTTTTGAAACTTATATCGGGTCAAACAAAGCCAAAAACGTCCTTTGAATGCTTGCGTAATGTTTTTGACTGTAAAAAAGTCGCCATTGCCATTTGTTGTTGTCCGGCAAAGTTTGCACCAGCTAACTTCGAACCCTGCAACTACAGTTTATAAACTTTACACACAATGTGATATACCTAACTCCCTTTTCGGTGTAGATTATTTAAACAATTTTCCAGTATATAAAGAGCTGTAAAACAGCAGACAAGTACCGGTCTACAATCTATCGCTTTATTCTTTTTCGAAGCAACAGGCGCCATTCAGTAATTCACTCACATGGCATGATTGGCACAAGCGTCACGCAAGCACATCACGGATGGCACGCACAAAACATTAGGCGTTTCCAGTCCCTGTCTTCTGGATTGTCTATGCTTTCATTAAGCATGTCTTGGAACTGAAATATTTTACGGGAACTAACACTTTCAAGCACGCTGAGTTCGAATCCGAAAACTTCCCGCGCCGTAAACCCGCAGTTTTCTCACAAAATGCTATTTTATCTTTGCTAATTATTTCACAACAAATTTTTTCATTGTTCAACGACACGGATCGGTGACGCCACACGATTATATCACTCAAAACGACCAATTTCTATTAACCAGTCTTCCTTTTAACAAAAGACCGGTTTTGCCCGAATTATTTTGAGTTATGTAATCTTATGCGTGTTGCATGTAAACAACATATCTTGTCTACAACTTTGAGAAGGTACAGATAACGCCTTTTTTTTATAACGACGTTAATGCTAAGTCTTTTGGCTATATCACTGGTCTGAAAAATAACTAATTTAACGCGATCAAGGTATTTAAAACAAAAGTAATGGTAAATGCGAAGCCAACGTAACGGCAAAGACAACGCTAAAGTGAAATATTGTCGATTGGTTGCTAGTAGAAGACTTACGACAGGATGAATCTTAAATAACCTTAAACTAGGGGAATAAATGTTCACATCAAAGACAAAGACCAGTGCCAAGGTACAAAATCCATGGGCGTACCGGAAGGAAAAAATTAGGGGGGCGGAAAGAAATTTGCCCGACTTTTTCGGATTGTGCCCGACCAGTGCCGAAAAAATTTTTTCCGGAACAAATTAATTTTGGCGACCTCCTCCCCGTCGCCAAAAAAATTTCGGTCAGTGTACCATTTTAGGGGTCCAAAAATTTTTCGGACATACCAAAATTTTTCGGAACATCATACAAATTTTCCAGACATCACAAAATTGACCACAAAATTCACAGAATTTCCCACAAAATTGACAGAAATTGTCCCATTTATTTTTATAATAAGCCAATATTGCCCGACTGTGGAGCGAATATTGCCCGACTGGCTTTGTTTGCCCAACAAACTGGGGGGGGGGGGGGGGGGGGGGGTGAATATTGATTGTAGGAATATTAATATTTGTGGTAAGAATTTGAAACAAAAGTTAACAAAAATTGAAATTAATCCCCCCTCGTTGTTTAGGAATTTTAGATCGAGGTAAGAATATTGAATATCAAAGGAAAGCCAATATTGCTCTTCCACCCCCGATCCAGATGCCAGGCTAGTCGAACGCAGTTACAAATTACTCAGGTAAATTCTGGTAAGTAGTATAGTAGGTGGTTTTCGACCCTTATTTTTGAGGTGGTGGATGAGGTGGTGTGAGGTGGTGTGAGGTGGTGGAGTGTGAGGTGGTGGAGTTTGAGATAGTGGAATCCCTGCAAGAGAGTTTGAGGTGGTGGAACCCCGAAAGAATCCCTGCAAGTTCTAGCAATGGGGAGACGTATTTGGAGGTCCGAGACCGCTATGTCAACATGGAATGGTGTGCTGTGAACGAAAAGTCAAGAAAGATGGTCCGAATCAAAACCGTCTGTTTTACTGCTGTCCAAAGGAAGACTCTTGTGGTTTCTTCGAATGGAAGCAACAAGAACCTCGTGTAATCAACACTGGCATCGTGCTCTTCAGTAATCCACTACAATACCAGTACATGGTTGAAGGAACAGGAGAAACATTTAATAGTTCTAAATCTAACACTAAGGAGGCCTATGATGAATTTCGCAGATTTGGTTTAACAAGTGAACTTGATAAAATAGACCTCTTGTAATAATAATACGTTGCTAGTTAATTAATGTAAATTTACATATACTAAAACTGTCTGTACCAGTGTTGGTAGTACCAATGTGAAAATGCTGTGCTGAGTGGTTATATTACTACCTTAAAAAACAAGCAGAAACTCGACGTTTCGAGCGAAGGCCCTTCGCCAAGAGTTAGTAGCAGGGATCGGGGAAAAATGCACGGGCTTTTATACTAAGAGTATGAAAGCATCACGTGACAAAAAAATAAACCAATTAGATGGATTTAATCATAACAAAGTGTAAACAAAATATGTAAATCGCATTACAGAATATAATATAATTAAAAATATACAGGAAGCTAAGACAATTACTACAAAAAGTAATCAAAACAAAAACGGGTGAGAATAAGGTGTTAGTAATAAATAGATGTTGTCAATGTCTGCTATAGACAGGCAAGGACAGATGGCATCATAGACAATCCAAAAGACATGTCTCCTGGATTGTCTATGTTGCATGGCATTAAACATAAGAAAAGCGTTCATTAATACCAGAAGGGTGAACAGTGCCAAGTTTGGATATGAGGCTCATTTCATGTCGTTTGCGGCTATCGTTGCTTCCAGAAATGGGACAGAGGGCTCGAATTACCATATCTGAAACACTGTGATTGCCATTATTAAAATGTCTGGCAACAGGTTGGTTAGCATCATTGCCAATAACTGCACGCCGATGCTCACCAAACCTTGTCCTTAAACATCTTCCAGTTTCTCCAATGTAAAGCATGCCACATCTTCTGCAGGAGATGCAGTAGATGAGATGGGAGGAGGCGCACATGAAATGGTGCTTGATGTGAAATTCACATTTAGGTTCCGAAACAATAGTGGTAGAATCTACAAAATCACAGGTTTTACCAATCACAGGTTTTACATTCAATCGTTGTGGTGAGAGTATCATGGATAACATATATATAATTTTTGATGAGTTGAAACGAAATGAAATTGATATTGATAAGCAAACTTTATCGTTTCACATAAATACAATTCTCGACCACCATCGAGATCTATATCGTGCAGTGAATGCTCATGGTCTAAACCTTGACCAAATCTACAGAGAGATCAATGTTACAAACCTTGGTTGTATTATTGCCTATCAAGCTTTCGTATGTTTACAAAATGATAGCGAGGAATCTATTCGTCATAATGTACAAAAAACCACCGAGGCATGTCGAATTTTTACTATGCTCAAACATAAACCAAGTAAACGTTCAATTTTAATAACGCTCTCACTTACACTCAATAGCTTTATATATCAGTCTATAATTACTGCCTGTTTCATTTTGTTCAAACCTCTGAGGAGTGAGGATGCCTTGCTGTAAAGGTTTACCACAAATTTCTCTTCGAAATATTTTTCGAAAAGTACGCTGTATTTCTGCTTGCTGTGGGGGGAAAATTGTAATTCAGATCTCAGACATCGATGGCAGAAAAATATCTAAGCCAGATCTATTATGATCCAGAAAACCCAGCAAGTTTTGGTGGTGTAGATTCCATTTATCGCGCCGTGAAAAACGAAGGGAAATATCAGATATCGCGGAATAAAATACGGCTATGGTTACAAAAGCAAGAGATCTACACTTTGCATAAACCTGTGAGATATCGCTTCAGGCGTAACCGTGTTATAGTTGGAGCTACAATCCTAGACAAGACCACTTGGACAAGCACATGGAAAAGGCGTCTTAAATTTAAATGTCTAAATATAATTGCAAATACTCATCCCCCCACCCCTAAAACAATGTTGATGAGATGGGAATGTCATCTGTGATACATACATAATAAAGTAAACAACATTGTGCTGGGGGAACGGGGGTTAAGAGTTATTTACATCTTCTAATAAAAAATACCTCGCAGCTAAGGTAGTCTAGGACCTGTATATGAGTTTGTATGCATTTCATTTAGGACAGATAATCTCAACTGTTTTAGGGTAAGTTGACCATGACGGTCAACATGGTAACGCTGCCCGAACCCCAATCCGGGGCGAAACGTCCGAAACTGACCACACCCAAAAACGACGCCTTCGCCATACTGCTATCTACCAAACCATAAAAGCTTTGGCTATTCTGAGGTGCTTATATGGTTCAGTGATGGTACTTTTGGGGGTGGTCATTGGTAAGTGTGAAATGCCTAGCACTAATATTTCACAAGAAAATGGCCATGCAATAATCATAGTTAAACGTCAATTTGTGGCTTGCAAATTCAGATAAACAGCAGTGGACTTACATTACCTTTTTCCCTAAATCTTTTTGATAGAAACATAAATGGTACTTATTTAAATATATTATCACTGGTTTGGTGTAAAATAGTTAATATTTTCTGACCGAAATAATAATTTGAAATGTGCCTACCTCCTGCAAATGGACGTATTTGGCCAAGTTCTCCACTTTACTCCGCTGTTTATCGGCGATCTCGTCGTCATCCTACAAAAAATGTAAATCATCTCAGACATAATGGTATCAAGAACATTTTAAACAAGTTTCAACTTGGTTTCAAGTAGATCATACCTGTTTAACCATCGACAAGGTAAATCCACAACTTTGTCCAAATTCGGCGCCATTTTGTCATCCCATGTCGCTTGTTAGCAATTCAGCCTTGTTACTCTTCCATCCAAGCCATTTCCATTCCACTAATAATAAATTTAACCCTTTATAACAGGAGGAAACTAAAAAATCTAAACAAAATATAAGAAATACGCCATTTTATCACCATGTAAAATTTTGCTCACGAGTCTTTCAAAACATTCCGTACAAATATCGCGTGACAAAGTAACAGGGACGTGACAGGAGGGGGTGAACTATTTCACGAAGATAGAAGAAGGCTGCGTGAAATAGACTAAAAGCTAAATACAATCATACAAATGTTTGTTTTATTTCTTGTAGCGACAAATATATACATATTATTATTTATTAATATAAAAAAGTCATACAAATTAAATGTTAATTGTTGGTTTTACCATACTGTGTGGGCTTTCCTTTCATTTTTCAAGTCTCTACCCCCCCTGTCACATCCCTGTTGCTAAACCACGCGAGATTTGTACGGAATGTTTTGAAAGACTCGTGAGCAAAATTTTACATGGTGATAAAATGGCGTATTTCTTATATTTTGTTTAGATTTTTTAGTTTCCTCCTGTTATAAAGGGTTAAATTTATTATTAGTGGAATGGAAATGGCTTCGATGGAAGAGTAACAAGGCTGAATTGTTAACAAGCGACATGGGATGACAAAATGGCGCCGAATTTGGACAAAGTTGTGGATTTACCTTGTCGATGGTTAAACAGGTATGATCTACTTGAAACCAAGTTGAAACTTGTTTAAAATGTTCTTGATACCATTATGTCTGAGATGATTTACATTTTTTGTAGGATGTCGACGAGATCGCCGATAAACAGCGGAGTAATGTGGAGAACTTGGCCAAATACGTCCATTTGCAGGAGGTTGGCACATTTCAAATTATTATTTCGGTCAGAAAATATTAACTATTTTGCACCAAACCAGTGATAATATATTTAAATAAGTACCATTTATGTTTCTATCAAAAAGATTTAGGGAAGAACGTAATGTAAGTCCACTGCTGTTTATCTGAATTTGCAAGCCACAAATTGACGTTTAACTATGATTATTGCATGGCCATTTTTTTGTGAAATATTAGTGCTAGGCATTTCACACTTACCAATGACCACCCCCAAAAGTACCATCTCTGAACCATATAAGCACCTCAGAATAGCCAAAGCTTTTATGGTTTGGTAGATAGCAGTATGGCGAAAGCGTCGTTTTTGGGTGTGGTCAGTTTCGTACGTTTCGCCCCCGATTGGGGTTCGGGCAGCGTTACCATGTTGACCGTCATGGTCAACTTACCCTAAAACAGTTGAGATTATCTGTCCTAAATGAAATGCATACAAACTCATATACAGGTCCTAGACTATAACTCAGAGTGCCATTAATCCATTATACAAGTCTAAAGAAGCTGGATTATTCTTCAATAAAGCCCTCAATGGACAATGCCAATGTCAATGAAAGGTCTAATATTATACATGTTGCAAATTACTGTATATACAAAATATGAAATAATTTATATAAAGTATAATACCACTCTCCTCCGCAGAGCCTTACGAATTTTTAGTAAAATTGCGTAATATTAAGGGGGGGAGGACAAATTACGCAAGGTATGATGGGAAGACGGAAGCTACGTAAGGCTCTGCCATATAATGTTTCCAAAATGGCGTCCAATTACAGACATAAGAATATTGAATTACTCATGCATTATTCATGAAGACAAATAGGCCGTTTCAGGATACAAACCAACAGTTTGCGATGAATTGGTTTGCTCAAAGTGCATTGAGAACAACGAGGAAGTTTTTTGACGATGTTGGACCGAAGAAACGTTTCAAAGTTTATATAAATAAACACCGCTCCTAGAAATTCAATGACAGCATATGCACTCTGGGTGAAACGCTGCACGTAGTGAAACAATTGTCGAATCTGCGATTAGAGACGGTATGTAAATATGAAATATATTATTTTTGATTGAATAAAAATACAAAGTATATGTACTAGAAAGTATGTATTCATTGCTGTGTCCCCAGTGTATATGTATTTGATTTGGCACAGTGTGTACTTTTTATAATTTGCGACTCTTGGATGAACCTAGTTGTTGCAAAGGTTGTTGCCTTCTTGGTAGCATAATAAATGGCCATTTATACCACCCAAGGTTTGTAATGTTTGTGTGAAATGTTTACATGCACTGAACTCTGGTGGCTTATATTGTCAAAGGTGGCCCGCAGTTATTGGGAGTATAATTTCTGTTGCGGTAACCCTGCCACTTGTACTTTATACATACACATGTATGTCTGTTTATTTGATGTACTTTATACTGTATCATGGCAAAGCTAATGGGTCATTCCAGAAAACATCCATACCACCCCCAGAGAGGGAATTGTAACCCCCCCCCCTCCCCCTATTATCAGAAACAATTCTGTCTCCACTGCAAAAATTTCCTCTGTGAGGGGAGTGTGAATCTTTTCTGGAACGACCCAATAAATGAGTTCAAAACTTTCACTTTGGAAATTTTAAAACAACAAATAACAATAATTAATTAGATTTATCATTATAATTGCCAGGTGAACCTATAGTAGTGACTATGGTAACATACAAATATCTTAATTATTCTACAGAATAATTCCATGGATGATGTGTCAATCTAGTATGAACTAATGTGCACAGAATACAAAGTGTCATTTGGCAATGATATAAATTGTTCCAATGATGCCATTACTGTTGCCACCAAAAGTTGATGAGAAACTGTTGAAAGTGGAACATTGCCTACAACTCCAGAAAGAATTTCAATGGACGGTGCTGTAAACTAGAACTTGGACATTGAAAGTTTAGACCAGGACAATAGGCAATTCCAGCTTTTAGTTTATGCGTACAGGGGACGATGGGAAGTAAGGTATCACATTGCTGATTATGCTGAAAAAATAAAAATGGTGGCCGTGTAAACATGGAGTG